TCATTAGAATCCAAAAATAGAATTTTTAGAAGTTATATAACCATATTCGGCCATGACAGATTGAGAGGGAAGGAACTTGATTCTTAAAAATCTAATTGACTATTTAAACTCTTTATGAAAAATTGTGTAGGATTAAGCCAAGAGATTATGGAATGTAAAGGAGAAATAATATTGTTAAAAATCAAAGAACAAGAGGGAATTATGTAGGTTAAGGTTAAAGTGTCATATTTAAGTTGCATAATTATTAATATGGGTTGCAATTATATTTGAATTGATAGGTTTTATAAAGAGAATACAAAGGGAAACTAATTATCTCAAGGAGGCCGAAACCTACCAAGTGTGAAAGGTAGCATTGAATTATTAATTTGATTATTGATCTTGCTTGTTTAATGTGTTGTGTTAATTGCCTTGCAGTGAGGAATCTATGTGATGGAATGATTGATTTGGTGATACTTAATGTGCTTTGGCCAAATACATGATTACATGTTAATGTAAAAGTGTTTTTGATTCCTTTCTTGATTAAATGACTAGTATGAAATTACATAATTTGAGGATGTCTTGAAGTGCTATTGCATGGCACATTATTCCATGCTTGATGAACATGAGAATTATAATTCATTGCTACTGAGATTTCTATGAAATCTCATTCCTCCTATGTTAAATTATGTCTCAAATAGGGAGTGGCTCATCCATGGACAAAAGCAAGGAGTTGGTATTGAGTTGAAGAAGTAATATGTATTATGTAATGTTTTATAATGTTATGTAATATTTTGACAAACTATGTGATGAGATTGTAAAGAATTATGGATGATATTATGCTATATCTATGTTTATACAATGTGCTTTGATGCTAAGAATATGGTTTATGGAATGCTCAAATGCAATGGTACATAGAAAAAGAAAATAAAATTCAAGGAAGGTATGATTAGGGGATAAAAATGCCTAAATTATGGGCAAAATTATGCCACATAAAATAATAAGCAAATGGACGAATTTGGATCTGAAATTTGGCATTCTTATGAATCATACTTTTATATTTAAAACAAGTGGTAGATCACTAAATTTGGAGTTTTGTGATAAGAGATATACTCTTCCAAAGTTTGGCTAAAATATTAGAAATTTGAAAATTTACCAAATAAACAGTACAACTTATCGAATTTTCTGACTCTATTTCAGATGTATACGAAGCCAATGAGTATTTTTCTCTTATAGTAGGCATAACAAGCTTCAAATTTTTTATTTTTCTATATTTAGTTATGAATTTTCAAAATTAGCTCAAAATTCTATGAACAGTGTACAAACAGTACGAAAATGGAAAATTTTGAACTTGAAATTTTTCATTCTTAAACTATGGCAAATAGATTATAATGGTTCCAATTGATGTGTAATATGATAATAAAGGAGATGTGGAAATGGGCATCCATAAACATAATTTACAAAATAGGAGAATTATATATTCATCAACAATCTCATTCATTAACATGAATAATTCTCTACTTTCTTCTCCTTCCTTCTCATGCCATTATTGCCCAACATTGATTGACTGGTTAGGGAGGGGTGAGATTTGGGGGAATCTCAGTAGTGAACAATACCATATTAATCGTGCTAGATGGATGCTAATACATCACATGCAACTTGCTTATTCTTTTGTTAATTAGTGACATATTAGTATGCTCAAAGCTACTTTTTTTATGCATGGCCATGGAGACATAATCTACTCATCATAAATAGCAATTACAACAGCCAAAACACGTCACAATAACATTCAAATAACATGTACATAGTAACACACAAGCATACAACATCAAGCAATAACAATAGGTAAGTTTACTACCTTGCACTTCAAGCTTTCCTCTTGCTTTTCCTTTGGTTCCCTTGACTTCCCAACCATGTGAGCTTTCAGTCAATATCGTCAAACATCCTCTTGGATGTTCCAAGGTCCTAAATATAGCCACATTGGTCATACAATCCATTAGGACTAAGACATTACACAAGGTTCAAGACTAGTTCTCTTGAACTTAACCTCTTTCTCTTAATTTTTGGATTAATGTTCTAGCTTTTTGTAAAAATTGTTCTCTTTGGCCAATCCTACACAATTTTGCCTAAGGAATCTAAATATGAACTTGGATTCATGAAAATCCAACTCCTTCCCCAAAATCAGTGTTGGCTGAATAGTATGGATTAAAAGCCCTAACTTTCCAACTTTGATTCTAATGCTTTCAAAGCTCGTGCTTTAGGTTTGCCCTATACCATTTTCAATTTTAAAATCATTCAAAGCCTTAGAATCACCAAAATCACATCCTAAGATTCCAAATCTGAACTGGCCGAATTGATCACATAACATCCATATCAAGCAATCTTTCAAATATCAACACAACACCACTTGAATCAAGCTATAACCAATGACTTTAGACTATGTTTAACATCAAAATCATCCTCCCCTATCTCTTATAAATTTTGGTTAGCACCTCCCCATAGGGGATTTCACATTTTTCAACTATCAAACACAAGAATACAAAGCAAAATACAATGTGGAACATAAAACTAACCTTGTATCCAAGCTTATGTGATTAAAGTAGATGGTTTCCTCTTGATTGATCTTCAAGAATCCAATTGGCAAGAGTTTCCCCAAGGTGGCCAAAATATTGGTCTTGCAAGAGGGGAAGGGTTCTATTTATAAGCCATGCCATAGCTAATTACCCTCCAAGTTCACTTAAATTATAATACTTAGGTGTCACAATCTTATAACTTCTTGAACCATTTTCCACCCTTAAATTAAATCCAAATGAAATTGATTTTCAAAGTCAAAATCCTCTCTATTGGTAGCTTGACACATGACAACCTAATCCCTTCTATTCATAATTACTCCACCTAGTGCATTAATGAACCATCATTACTTTTGTCTTTTCCTTAGATGTTTTCTTCTATTTACTTGGCTCTTGTTTTTTGAGGTTTCTTTCTAGCTTTCTGAAGCTCTGAAAATTATTCTGTTTGCTCCAAAAATTCCTTTCACCTTTAGAGAAAATCTATAAATTTTCTCAAGCCATAACTCATCTTGTAGGCCCCTACTTAAAAATTATTCTTTAACATGCCCTTTTTATGGCATAATTGGCTTTATCTTTTATTAAAGCCATTCCACTGGCCTTCTAGGAGCAAGACTAATTTTATAAATTAGTACAACCTTTCAACTACTTAACCTTATTTTTACGTGCATTTTTTAGATCTCTTGCTATTTCAAATAACTACCTCAAATGATGTACTTTTTACTAGTCATAATTTTATAAATTCCATTTTAGTTGCTTCAGGGGTATTTTGATAATTTCTCTTTACAAAAGAGTCTTAGAATAATATTTCCCATTTTTTGGGATTTTCCTGAAATTTTCTATATACTTTCCATTTTTATCCCTCTTAGCCTTTGCCTTTCAGAATTTACGGTTTTACCCTCTACTTAGGCTCAACCTCATAAAACATCTCTTTGAGGCTTCTAACTTAACCTTTGACCTGTATCTAACCTCTTTTTTCTTTTTGGCCCTTGAGACTTTATTGAAACCTTTAACTTTGATTACACTTCACCCTTAGAAACTTTCACTTTACAGTTTAGTCCCTATCCACGTTCTAGCTTCCTTTCACCTCTTTGAGACTTCTGCTCAAAGGGGCTTAGTAGCCTACCTTCTTTAGGCTAAATTGTGGGCTTCTAGGCCTAAAATTTGAGATGTGACAGATAGTAACTTAACCCATGGGTCTACTCCATAAAAATAAGGTGGTTCTATAGAGTAATCAAAGGGTAATTGGGGTTTTGTGTGATATGGAATTTGTGAAACATATTTCTAATGCCTTGATATTTTAATTGTTCTACTTGACACCTCACGAGCACATAACATGTATGATGAGTTGAACTATCAGTTACTAAGTTGTATATCTCATCCTCTTGCTTTGACATTTTTTTTTTCAAGAGAAAGTTCTTCTAGAGATTTGTAAAGAAAGGCTCAGGGGCTCAGGCTATTCCTTGACTTGTAAAACCTCCTAGGTCTAGTTTGGGTTGAATTGATGTATATTGTCACATTACAACTCATCCTCATACTTCGGTTATTCCTACTAATTAAATGAACCTATTAATGCCAGTGATTAAGTGTTGTTGAAACAAGTGTTAGTAGTTGGTTTGAGACCATTAAGTTGTGCATGTAAACTTGTGAATCCATATACTTTTGAAAATTGCAATAAACAAATGTGAATAAGGTGTTAATCAGAATTTACCTTAGTGAAAATAACAGTCGATGGAATATTAATTATGTGCTTGACAGGGAAATATTATATTATGAGCTTTAAAGTGCCCAAAACACAATGGTTGAAAAATTTGTTAGTCAACGGATGATCTTTTATAACCATGCTAAAGTGGATTTCCACTTCTCTAACATAATTATGCTTGTGATTATTTTAGGAACACTTTTTTTTTCATGATAGACCCTTCAGGAAACATTTGCTTTTTTCTTTTCCCCTAATAATAAATAAGCTCCTACGATTTGGTTTAATTCTTTTACAATCAAAGTAGTGCTTCAACTTCTTGTTTAATCATTTTTATTTCATGATTTTATTTTTAGTTGTTTGATAAATCTTTTTTTAATATGGCAGATTAATCGTTTCATTTCTTTTCTATTTTCAAATGGCCAAGTGCCGGGTATTACATGAATAGCACGACAAGTTGGCTTTTAAAGGGATTTTCCCTTGTCCTTTCATTCCAAAAGGGGGGGGGGGAAGTAGAGTTGATTTCTCAAAGTTTATTTGTCCAATAGGTGGTCTGGAGTAAACTGTTTTGCGAATAGCATTTGCAGCCCAACAAAGCCACTCTCCTAACCAATAACTTCCAAAGTTTTTGGGTCTTAGTCCGTAATAGGGGCAACCACATTGGAAGATCTCCCCCTTCTGTATTAGTCAATACTACCAACGATATTTGAATCTGTATTAGTCAATACTACCAAATAAAAAAAAGGGGGAAAACGAAGGAAGAAAAGGTGCATAACAATGTACTGCAACCAAAAGATCATCCAAATGGCCGATGCGGACTTGAGCAGGTTAAGAAGTTAGGACACAAAACAGAGAACAAGGCAGACAGCCACACCTTATGACTCATTACATCCACAACACAGTCCTGTTTTACTTCAAACTAAATCTGAACATTCAAACGAGATTTTGCTAACTAACAAGCATCAGGGAAACCATCAATAAACAAAAGGAATAAACCTGTACCTAACTTTGCTTGCATATTCTGTGTACCTCTGCCCAAAAGCCTCAACCATCAAAGCCTCCTCCTGCATTACCTTCTGCCTATAGTACAACAAACAAACTACCACAACAAATAGCAGGCTCAACGGTGCTCGAAGGGCAAGGCAGTAAGTAACAAACAGAAGCATAGTTGATGAATATATGGGATGACGGATCCAGCGATAAGGTCCAAATTGCACAACAGCAGTAGGTACAACCACTTTTTCACAATACTTTGACAGATACAACGTGGCATTATACTGCATCAGCAGAGTTACTATAATTAATGTCCAGATACCAAGATTGTTCCACCCTCCTGGAATTTGGTGAAGCTCTGGCCCTTCAAATGCTGCAAGCCAATGGCCAACCATGACGCCAAAACTGAACAAAAGGCGATTCCACATGGGCAGGCTCACATCCCATTTAGGGTCGTGGGGGCGCATGTAATAATCTCCATATAATCGCTTTCGAACAGTAACACTGAAGAAAAAGAAGTAATGGTAGACAAAGAACAAGACAAAAGGCCAACCTTCAAGGTAGCCATTGAAATACGCAGGAGGGACAAGGGTTAGCCAAGTAAAAACTGAAGTAACTATAGCCAGTTGTTCAAACATGGTTGCCTCGCCATGAAGATGTTTCCAAAAACTGTATAACCCATAAACTGCAACCACTAGGGCCACCATCCATGGCCAGAACAACCAAGTCCAGCTCAAATACATCCAGAAGAAGGGGTTGAATAGTGCATTCAGAATCCATTTTGAGGCTGCAATTATGACAGATAATATCCCAGACCACTTTACAATGTCAATGGGAGTAAATTGTAGCAGGGTTGACTTTATTGAATCAAAGGAAAGATTTGTCAAGCACTGCAGGATTGGACCATGTGATTCAGAATTGGCATTACTCGAAACTGAGCATCTGGTAGAAGATAACGAGTTAATCCTTTTTCTTAGTTTTGGTACTGCAGATGAAGGGTTTGGATAAAAAGTGCAACTCAACGGAAAACCATTAAGATTTAATTTTGAGTGGCGCTGAAAACTATTATTGGCAACAGCATGGTCACGGAAATATTGGTTGAAAGGTTTCAAAGAATGCTCATTGCCAACAACAGATAAGCCAAAAGGGGCTGTCTTGGAGTGGGAGAGAATTGTTGTCGCTTCCATTACCATTTGAGGAAAACTAGCAATGGCTATCCAGCACCAAAATTACGTAGTCAGAGAATCACCACCTGTTGAAGGATAATTACAAAGTCAAGAAACCATCAAACTCATATCCTTTGACTCACCAAATCATGAATCATGCCAATGGTAAATATAATGTAATGACATTTGCAGGGAAAATTAATTGCTTCATGCTACATTCTTTGTCTGTTCTTTGCATATTCAACCAACTTCCTCAATATTGTAAATAATTGATTATTTGATCTCTAGAAAACATAAGTCAAAAGACATTGACAATCGACAACTAAAAAGAATATAAGAAATTATATATACAATTACATTTTGGAAATAGTATGAAAATCCAATTAAACAACCACGCACCACTTTATGATGACTCGCATAAAATACAGTGGGATAAGGCTCGCCGCTGCTGCTGCATAACACAAATTTTTTTTTTTTTTTAAGGCATAGTGGCAATTAACCCCAATCAGTGGCATAGGCGGGCCCATATTACACTTAGGCAGGGCAGATGCACCTCTGCTGAAATCTTTTAAATATGAATAGTTGATAAAATATCCTTTTAATTGTCCCAGATACTTGGAAGATGCCTTAGTGAGCGAATTGATTCAGGCAACTCCTCCAAGCGCCAAGTCATTTACTAGATTATGACTCACAAATAGCTCGAGAATCTTCTAAGTAGATGATAATATAGAGGTTAATAAACAGAATGCCAATACACAACAAATCCAACATTGTACAACAAAACAATCCAAAGCATATAAGCCGCTAGTAATCAAAATGAAGAGGGCAGAAATACTTCATGCCAGTGAAGGAAAAACTAGTAATTTTTTACTTTTGGACAAAAAAATAAACCCAGTCTCTATTCAAACGACTATCCGACGAGATTCAAAGCTAAATTAAAATGAAAACATTGAAGCAAAATAAGAAAAGGAACAACAGCATCCGACATAGGGTTGACAACAACGCAATGAACAGATGAGGCAGGGAATAAATTTAAAGACAGATTGAACAAAATCAATCTCACCTGATTTTGGAAGTAGGCAAGGCCCTAGGATTTAAACCTTTTTCAATACTTGCCCGTGAACAACCACGCAGGGCCGACAACGGCGGACAGCATCTGACGACGAGCTAGCTTGACCAGGTACGGAGCGCATGTTCGTCGACGCTAAACCTTCCTCGCTTCTAAAACATTGCTTTGAGCTTCCTTAAAAACTTGCAGATTAGCCAATGGGCCCATGCAAGACCGTGTTTGGTTGGAGTTTTTTAAAACCCCCGGGGGTATATGTTTTTTCTGTGATTGGTTCAACTTAAGAGAAGGGAAGGGATTTTAGTAGAAGAAGAGAAAGAGAAAGAGAAAGAAGAGATTTTAATGAAAGGGAAGGAAGAGTAGAGATTTTAATGTTACTTTATTTGGTTCAGAAAGGGAGAGAAAGGAAGAAATATTTATATGGATAATTTTATTCTTATTTTATTTTTTATATGATAAAATATTTTTATATGGATCAAAATATGTTTATTAATTAATCAGAATCTCAAAAGTCTATTTCAACACTTAATTATGATAAAATTATTTATATATATTTTAAATAATAATTTTATTAATATTGACATGCTATTTTTTTAACTTTAATATGTTTTTGAGAGAATTGCAATTAGATCCCATCTAAGGAAATTAAATACAAAAAGGTTCTTTGAAATCATGAAATTATTTTGAAGTCCCAAGGGACCTTTTTGCAATAAATTTATTTGTTTAATTACCAAATTACCTTTTTTTTTTTTAAGTTTGCATTGACAACTGAAAGAGCAGTAATTGACAACTTGGGGTGCAAGGATTGATAACTATCGTGGCTGGTTTGACAACTTAAGATGTGATATGCTGAGAAAAATGTGTTGTCAATCACTACTCTTTCAGTTGTCAATGCAAACTTTAAAAAAAAAAAGAAGGTAATTTGGTAATTAAACAAATAAAATTTATTGCAAAAAAATTCATTGGGATTTCAGAATAATTTCATGATTTCAAGGGACCTTTGTGTATTTAATTTCCTTGGGTGGGACCTAATTGCAATTTTCCCTATGTTTTTTTTTTCAAAATTTCTTGTGATGTAATACTACCTCCGATTTTTAATATAAGAGTTTGTTTGATTTTAATTTTGGCCTTAGATATAAAATCTCAATCTATTTTGTTTCTCATATTTATTTTTTTCCCAATATAGTTCAAAGACATTTTAAAAAAGACAACACATATTTATTACAAATAACTAACTTAACTTATTTCTTTAATATACTCAAATTAGTCAACTAGCTCTTATATTTATGATAAGAGGTGGTATATAGATGTGTGTATATAGTAGTAGAGAAATATCATAAAAAATTAAAAAATACTAATTAAAAAATATTATAGTTTTTTCTTGTTAAATATGAGAGCCCAAATTAAAACATAAGAAAAACCCTCATTATTATATCATCTTCCATCTCCAGCCACATACTTCGACAACCCCTTGTCTTCCTAGTATTATTGTTGTCTTCTTCACATACCCAGCAGCCACCGCCTGCTCCTCTTTTCAAAATCGCATGTCCTCTTCCATCTTAGTAATTATTTTACTAGTATAGAAAAACTGTTATAAATATTAAATTATATGAATGCCCATAAACCCCTTTAATCTCTGGCCTTTCATATTTTCCACTTTATAACCTCTCCAATTAATGGTTTTTAGGAGTTTTCATTCCATAACGTAAAGGTTACAAATTGTGCACTCATGGGAATTAATTTTTCATTTATTTTATGTTACTCTTGACGAGGCCAAATTCCTATATATAGAGGACTATGTAACACACAATTGGTACATCCAAGTGAATAAGAATACACCCTCTCCTTCTCTACAATTTTCTCTTGTCTCACTCATTTATGTAATTTTGTTTACATTACCTTATTTTCATAACACGTTATTTGCACAAATTTGTTCTGAATATTTGAGGTCTAAGCACTTTATAAATTAATTTACTCTCATAGTATATGATAATACTCTCTATTGGCTTCCTCTTACTCAATTATTCTTTTATTCTATTGTCACATCATGAATTTTGGGCCTAAAAGTATTAGAATTAGCTTGAAATGGACACACTATCAAATTCCTTTTAGCAGAGGTCCCAGAGGTTTCTTAGAGGACCAGAAGGATTCTTAGGGACCAAATTGTAAAAGCAAAAATTTTCTGGGACTGAGAAGAGAAAAAATTAGAGACTCTAGTGAAGTCTTGAAGCCCAAGAATGAGAAATAGAGATAAATCTAGGCCAAAGATTATGTTGGAAGCCTCAAGGAGGTGAATTATAAGTTAAGCCAACCTAGAAGCAAAATCATAATTTTGCAAATTTCAGGCATATAAGGGGAAAGATGAAAATTATGCCTGAAAATTCAAAAAAATCCCAAAGAATCATAAATGGCATGTTAAGGCCTGTATGTGATGTCTGGGGTCCATTATAAGGAGTTGAGGTAATTAAGCATTAAAGATTGCTTTAGGAACCTTAATAAGAGGATTCCTGAGACTAAACCCGAGCAGAGACCTTAATGCAAATTTTGCAAAATTTTGGGCCAAAAAAGGCAGAGATGAGAAGTTGGCCTGAGTACTTTAGAAAAATTCCAAAAAAATAGGAATGAGGTCCAAAGGTGAGGCTGAAAATGAGGAAAATACCCCTGGAAGGAATTTGTGGAATTCTAAGGGGTTTCAGCTAATTTTGAATATTAACAAAAATTAAATTATTTAAAATATAGAGAGGCCTCAAATAATTGGAAGAAATGGGAGAAAATACTTGAGGAATTATCATAGGTTTTAAAAATAATTTTGTCTCTAGAAAGCGAAGAGGTTGGCTTTAATAGAATTTAAAGCTTATTTATACACTATCCGAAAAAAGTCAAAGTCAAATGTCTAGATGTTGACTTTTGACTTAAGAAAAATTAGAGAAATTCCCTGTGATGAATAAACAATATTGGTACCCAAAGACAGATTCTTGGAATCATGGATCGGTGGAAAGAATTTGATCAAGTTCACTCTAAAATAAATATTATTAATTATTTAATGGAAGAACAAGAGAAGAATATCACTTTCTCTTTAGGCATGTTATATAAGGCCATGTGGGCTTATTTAAGGTGAGAAAAGGATGCTAGAACATGTCCTAGTGGTCCTTAAAAAGTACTTGATACAGTGTAGAATGACAAGACAGGTGAAAGAATGCCTAAGGGCTATATTTTGCATGAATTTTATATTAATTTTTTTCCTTATTTTAATGTCAAAATGATGAATGGACATGGAAGAGGCAAGTATACTGTTAGATGGAAGAGACACATGTACGATTAGATGTAAGACACATGTACAATCAGATGCAAGACACGTGTACGGTTGGATTAAAAACATGTGGCTTGATAATATAAGCATGATGTCATAAGGACACTTGTCACCATAATACTGATAAATTTTGTCGCTAGGTGATCAAAATTTTACTAGGGAAATGCAGCAAGTGAGGCAATACCTAGGTCATTCTTCTCAAGGAGCCTTAAGTTGTAATTCAATTCTTAACAATTCACTTTAATTATCAAATTACCAAGGTAAAAGCTTGACTTTCAGAAAAGAGAAATTGAAGCAAGAAACAAATCCAATGAAAAGTAACAGTAAGAAAAAGTCTAAAATGCAAAAGAGATTCAGATAAGAGATAGTAGTTCCCCTAGCAATTTATCCATCCTTCCTTGTTCAAGTCTTATAATTTGGAGTCTCTTAATGTCAATTAAATGGATAGATTCAGCTACTGCTCAAATCTCTCTAAACACAGATCAAAAACAACTATCTTACTAGATTCATTGTCTTGCTCTGTAGAGACGGAAAATCAAAAAATCAATTGACAATAACACTTAAGAAGCAAGTTGCAATTCTCTAAGGATGATCACAAGTGTGAATCATCAATTCATTCAATCAAATTTCAGAATTACCGAATAACAGTCCAAGTAAAAATGAATTAGATCTACAAATCAACAGAGAATCCTCTATTCAACTGAATCAAAGGACACAACTCACATCTGAATGTTCAATCAGATCTAAATTCCAAGAAACATAAATCTAATCACTCAACTTTCATTCTAAGCACAAATGTTCAACTGATACAAATGAATCATAGAATAGAAATTAGAAACTAGATCTGAAACGACTTCCTGTTCAGCTCTATGAACTCAGGTCAGCTTCATTGCTAGGAGAACTTGGAAATTCAGCTACTCATACTCTGAATTGGAGTAGAAACAGCAAGAATCAATGAAAGATTCATAGATGATCGGTGGAAAATGATGGATTTGGAAGAAAATGGAAGAGAGAATTGAGAGAAGGCGGAGAGAACAAGAAAATCGGTGACTGGAGAGAGTGAAGAACTGAATCTGGGTCCCCCCGTTTTAGTGCACGACTCTGTATTTAAATTTGAAGTTTTCCGTCATCCGCCGCGGCGCCTAGCCTATACGATGTTGTTTCAATTAGTGATCCTGAGCTCCATGTAAACTTTGATCCGTCGTGGCGCCTCTGATCATTCGCCGTGGCGCCTGTGACCAAGAGCGCCTTTGGAAATCCGCCGTGGCTCTTTCCCATATCCGCCATGGCGCCTCAGATAGAATGGCGAAAAATGCTAGTGAAACTCCCTGAAATTCACACCAAAACAGGGATCAAAAGTACACACATATAAAATCATATAAAAACATGCAAAAACACCTACAAAACCTCATAATTCCTTTCACCAACTCTTATGCACAATGAAAGCTAATTATACCCAAAGTATGCAAATATAAATGGCAAAAGCATGAGTTTAGGGCTAGAAATATATGCAAATAATGAGACTTATCAAATACAAAGAGGAAAAATGGACAGTCAAGATTAAGCCACCTATTTTCAAGATTAATGGTTAAGATTTATTCTTAAACTCTATAAATACCCCTTCCGTCCTCTCATTTTATCCGAACTCAAGGAAACCATGGGAGAACTCTTGCAAAATGAATTCTATAGAGAGAAAGAAGAAGGAGAGAGAAAGGCCAAGTGATCCCATACAAGATCAAGCTCTAAAACAAGGTGAAGATTTAAAGGTTTTAAAGGTTTTGAAGGTTTTGATGATAATCAAATAATTATTAATTTAATCAATCAAGTGTTCAATCA